CATTATCTTGCCTTGTGACGTAATATCTCATGTTCATATGTTGTAGTCGATAAGACCATATCTTTGCACTGTTGAATGGTTCGGCCATGCAAGCAGAGTCACTTGAGTTTTATGTCCGGATGCTTTGAAGTTCAAAGGAAGTTGCTGGCAGCAGCCTGAGATTCAAACATTCAGGTATCCTCTTCCTGGCACAACGTCAAATTTGATGTGAACGTCAAACCCGGTGCGTATTACAGAAGCTTAATCCCAAGACATCCTTTTTTTTTGTCATTTGTCAGATGTGCCAAAATAATGCCAAAATCATTTCAGTTGCAACATAAGCCTATTTACCTTGTCAGCAACCCTGCCGGACACAGCACAACAGTGCATCGGGTGAAGAAGTCTAATGCACTTTGATGCTCTGGGCAATCAACAGCAGCCAAACAAACCAGCCATGTTGAGACAATGGGGGGCTGGTCCCATTGACCAGTGCCACTGTTGGATCTTGTGGTGACTGGCAACCACAGGGTCCCAGGCTGTTTGGCCTTCGGGAGAGTTTACCTGTTGGATCTTGGATCACCGTTGGGCAGGCAAGCCACTTTAACAAATGGTGCGGCCTGATGTGTCTGCCAGGGTTTCTAGCTGAACGGCACTTTTTGGCAGTGAGTAGTAACAAATTATTCATTTGCCAACTTTTTCTGAATTTCAATAGGCTTTGCATGAAAAAACCCAGAATTAGAACAAATTGAATCGTGGAATTTCGAATTAGCAATGTTTTCAGACCTGAAGATATCATCAGGAATTTTTGTTTAAAGTTGAACTTCTGATGGCATATGTGTATAACATGGTGGGTTTTTTCAACCAAAATGATAGTTCCAACTAGATTTTCGGACAAATATCATTACATGAAGGTACCGGTGCTTGATATTGTCAGTTGTAAGTCATTTATACCAGGCAAGATATGGGACAGAGGGATACCCCCCCTTACCTGTCCAATCTCTATACACACTGTAGACTATTGTTACCTAACACATCCCCCCCGAAGTCTGTAAAGAATTCCTGAGATTCGGATCAAACAATGACCAACACAAAGGCGGGGGGTTCTCTCCGTCCCATATTTTGCTTCAAGTGAAGTCATCTGTAAGTGAATGCAAAGTTAATAACTTTTCTGTAGTAAAAAGCCATGCTTTAAATCAAGTTGTCAAAAAAATTGCATGTTGAATGGTGGAATTGTCCAAATGCTTTAACGGCTGACTTTGAAGAGAAAATTAATATATTTTAAGCAGTCAAATGCCACAATAAAACTCAGTACTTGGGCCTTGAGCAATGTCGGAGCGCTGTCCACCAAATTATGAACACCAACCCTGAGGAAATATTTCTCTTTTGTCATGCTTGCCAAACTCAGAACAAAGTGTTGCTTCAGCTATGGTTCTTGGTGATGTCTTCATGTTTATCGTACTTCGCATGAAGAAATTCTGTCAAAGTTGAGAAGTGGATTCACAGGTTGACCCCCAGAGCCATGCAACTCAAGTCTTCCTGAAATAACTCTTGAACGAATGGCTGGTCAGATAGTATTTTCTACTTTGAAAGTTTTGTCTAAAAATATTTTCGTGGCACTGTAGCTGTAACGTCACTGAAGGCGTTGCCGGAGCAAAGGAAGTGATCACGTGCTTAATTATAATATGCATGAATGTTGCCAAAGGTGGCATGATTTGCCTTCTAAAAGTTTTATTGCAGTTATTAAACAGCAAGAGAAACAAAATCAACCAAAGAAACAGGTTGGTACAGCAGTCAGGACGTCCTGTTCGGGTCAGGCTAGAGGTCTGTTCTGGCAGCCTATCTTTATACTTACATTGCATGTTCACACACGTAATACAAGTACGTACGGCACATGTGCACGGAATACACGCATTCACATGCACAAAGCAAATTTCAACTCTCACACGTTTCACACAAGTCGACATTATTTCTTTAATGAAATAAAATCTTAATGTTTCTGTTTTTTAAAAATTGCCTAAATGGGAATTGGTATTAAATATCAGACCATAGAAATCATAACTTATGGTCAGACTTACACATGTATGTGAATACTCTCAAAGATCATGTAAAACTGGGACGTATGAAAATCTTTAACTTAACTCAATGTGTCCTTACGAACAATTCACACAATTTGACTTGGCTGTATTGCAAGCAGTGTACTTAATATTTTCAAATTGAAGAAAAAGTACTTTTTTTATTATAGTATTAACACAAATGTGTAAATATAATTTGTAAAACTCAAGAAAATATGTTATCTGCTTTGAGTGGTCTTTGTAAAAAACTGTTTTGGGGGGAATAAATGTACTGAACTCATTAATTTATTGTAATTTCCCTGAATTATGCTGTAATCACTTTTTGCATATGTCAATAAAGCATTGTCACAAGTCAGTATAGGCGTATAGTACGGTGCAGTACTTAAAATCAATGGTTCGGTACTAAACGGCTCTAACAAATGTTCAGAGTTTCCTGGTGGTCTTTCAAAGATACTAGCTCTTTAAGATTTTTGGATGGGTTAAAAAAAAAGTGGTCATTGTTCCCGCAGCTGATGTTCTTGAATGTTTCATATTATGCCCTGTGTTCAAAACAAAAGAAGGAGCCCTGTTTTGAGACCATTATGGTAAGGTTGTCTAAGTACTGAGAAATAACAAGTCTCCGTCCTCATAACTATTTCCACCGTGGCTGATTCAATATGGCCGACTCTTAGCTGCCAGTAATGTAGTTAACAAGGTGGGGCTCTGTGTAGCCCAGAATAGATGAATGCTGCCAAATTGTAGTACAAATTCTGATAGGTACCTGCACCTATTCAATCTGTTGGAATTTGACTTATTTGATCTAGCATCCTCGTTTGCGAACATTTTGCAAACATGGTTAACATAATCCAAATCTGTTCTGTCCTGTTTTTCTCGATAGGTATATACATGTACATGTACACCAGGCTTCCTTCACTGTGATTGCGCTGAAAAAGATCAACTTGGCAAACAAATGGAATAAAAAAAAATGGACTCCGTCCAGTGTAAAAAAACATCCTGTTTGAAATAATTGCTGTCCTTTTCCGCAAAAAAAACTGTCAAAAGGAGTTATACTGTTGAGAATGGGATTCGGATTTGTGTAAACTGCTGTTGATGTGTAAAAATATTGACAAATATAAGGAGAGGCTAACTCAATAATATGTATATTCATGCATTTTGGCCAGTTTGAAAGCAAAATGACATGCTAAGCATTATCAAATTGACCAAACTAGCTTTATCTAACTGGCTTTTTAGGCATATGCTGTTATAATAAACAGGGGTCAATTTTGGACCTGCAGCACCACAGTTGTGACCAGAATAGTTTAATGCAATGCAGAACTAAATGTTCGCTTTGTGAGTCATATCAGAAAGTGAGGCTAAAAAACTAGGAAATTACAGTTCAGGATGTGCTGAGATGTGTGTGTCATTTTTTCAGTCAGTGTTGTAGTTGAGTACTTTTTATTACAAAAGTTCTCTGCCAAATTTTGAATTGGGTAAGAGGGAATAAAGCTGGAGTTCATAGGAATTTGATGGTAAATGCACAGTGGTAAGATTACAAACCAACTGTTCGGACACTGCCAGTTTTGTAAAATATAAGTTTTAAGAAGAAAAGTACTTGGCCGAGTACTTATGTCCCAGAAACCTAATTTTTTCATTAAACTTGGTTCTCAAAAAGTACTCAACTACAACACTTCTTTCAGGTCTAGGACCCCCAGTTCTTCAAACACACATCCACATGGACCAGTTCTTGGTGCATAAATTGAAGGTGCGGAGAATAATCTGAGCTTATCTCAATTTTTGTGAAGGGGGGGGGATGATTGGCGTAGTGCCACAATCAAACAGAACTGTCTCTTCAAGGTTTTTGTTACGTCACTTGCAATCGCTATTCAGATGGTTTCAGTTTTTTGAAGGTGTCTGAATAGTGCTACTTTTGTTGTCCGACTTAACTCAATTCACAGATAGTATTTTCAAGAATGCAATAGTTATCATTTTGTGTATATTTTCTCGAGAGATATTAAAGCAAGTTGATAGTAAACAGGGTGTTTATGTTTTTCAATTGACCAGCTTGTGTACAGGCTGTATCTAGCTTTCAGGAAACGGAAGGGGGTGAATAATGGTGTTCTCTCTCGTGGTAGGGGTTTCAGAGCTCTCCCTCAGCATTTGGAAATGTACAATGCTCTGCTGTCCAGTTCAAGGCAATTTCAAAATAAATTTGAGAATCGAGTATAATTTTGTTTGGTTTCACAAAATTTGTCGGCAGCCGAATGCAAGAGGTGTGGCAACCCATCCAATCATTCCAGGACTGGTATAAATCACCGGAAAACAATGAGAAAAAAAATATATCATTCTAGATCAACGCTCTTTGAAAGAAAAGATAAAAATGAAGTCGGCTTTCACGTTACGTTTTCCCCCACACAGTTTATTGAAAACATTACTCCTTGTCTGTCACTTCATCCTTTGTGAACTTTGTACACAAATCCAAACAGTTTTTAACAATTCAAATATAATTTCATTGACAGGTTGTCATTGACAAAGTAATGTTAATTAAACAGCTCACTTAATGTGCATGATAGTAATAAATAGTATTTCAAAGATAAATACAATGCAATAAAATGACAAGGAGAATTTAAATGCCTTGAGAGATAAAATTAATTGCAATAGAAACCAATATATTGTCAAAGAAAATCAATGTCGGCTGTATGCTTCAATTAATATGTCTAGTCATACTAAATTTGCCCTAACCAAAGCACTCACAGTGGGCCTCGAGCTGGACCAAGAGTGGGTGTTATTTTCTTAGCAATGGAGGTTCCTTTGGTCGGAACTGAACTCCGCTGGTCCATGAATGACATGCACGCATCACGGTCTCATCACCGCCAACAAATTGAACATTCCCAACAAATGTGGCTCTTTTCAACTGATGAGGGGGTGCTTCTGCCTGAGGCGGATAGCTCAATCAACTGCCGCAAAGTTGAATTTTGCCGAACTGTGCCATTAGCGACATTTTGTGTCCTTTGTAGACACACAAATTTCTTGTGTAGGGCGAATCTCTCAAAATCCCATTTTCACCTTTGCTGTTTTTGTACTACCACGATATTTCTAACAGGCATTACAGACTCTGTCAGAAACTCCAACAGTAGAAAGGAGGTTTGAAAAATAGATATGACAAGTTCCCAGTCTTCCCTAATTAAAATGAGCCTCAGCACCACAAGCTTGCAATGAGGGCTAGTGCAAGGGCACAAGCAATAAGCCTTTTGCAAAATAAATTTGAATAAAACCTGGCACACGAGTGCTTTAAGTTCACAAGAACATGACAATTTGAATTCTCCATGCTAAAGACACTGTTGTTACACCTTGTGATTTGGGGCAAGGTTTTGCTTAGTTGCATAAGGGACGCCTTGCTCCAATACACTGTTTTCAATGGAATAAGACAGGCACAGAGGAATCAGTCTTGCTAGACATGGTGGTTGCTATGCAAAAGCTTGCCCCGAATCACGAGGTATAGCAACACTCTTTTTAGTCTGGGGAATTCAAAATGTTATGTTTATGTGCAATCAGATAATTCTGTGTACCAGATTTTACTCAAATTTAACTCGCAAAAGGCTTCCTTGACAGACTGCTTATCTTTTGGCACTGCGATTTACGATTCAACACACAACAGCACTCGGTGTGGGGCAGTTTATAGGGGAGTAGCGGACTGTCCAAATGCTTTTGTTAGATCATCACAGGTGTTTAGCTGTGATGATGGTTCTGAGTGCACATCCTTTCACTGTACGCTACAGAGGTGTTCCTCTGCTGGGGGGGGGGCATTTCTGCAGGGAATCTAGTGACTGTAGGCACTCCAGCTGGGTTTTCATAACCCGATAGGGGTTGTCTTTTCAGTATTAGAATAATGTACAATTTTAAAAGGAATCTAGCCACTGGTGTCACTCGTCTGGTGGCTTCCGGAACTCTCTCTTGGCCCTCTTCTCTTGCGGTTCTTCGGGGGCTTTCGTTCGGTGGCGCTTTTTGGTGAATTTATTGGCAATCGTTCCAACCAATGTGCTGTATCTGAGGATTAATAAAAGAAAAATAAAAAGTAAAAAATCCTGCGATCGATGCCCAATGCCACAATTATATTCAATACAGGCAATTCATAATACGGTGCCCCACCAAGAGTTTGCCGTAGACAGGCCACTTTTCAAGTTTAGAGTCAATTATTGTTGATACTGCTGCCATTGAGCGCACTTTGGTACGTAACATGGGAATATTTGATTTAGTCATTCCCTGCACCACACAAATCATCATTTTGACTACCTAACACCTATTCGCAATAAACAAATTCACATTTTCAACCATGATGAACAATTATTGAGAAAAATTGAAATTTCCCGTGCACAGCGCAGGTAGCAAATGAGACTTTGTCAAACTTTTATCCCATAATGCATTATGAGACAAAAACGTCTCTCCATGAAACCTCTTGGTGGCGCGCACTGCATTATGAACTGCTCGTTTTCAACAGTGAGGGATACATGTACTTACATGTACACGGGTGAAAGTGAAAGATTAACATGAATGCCAAAGCAACACTGCCTGGAGTGTCGAGGAGCACATCTGCCTGTGTTTATTACACATTTGGCATGCCTGGAGGCTTCCTTTCAGGTTGAATTATGTTTTTTCACCGTGAAACTGGAGGCGGGATGCGGAAGCATCAGACCGTACAGCAACCTCAACTGCTTTGGGACTGCTTCTTTTAATAGGAATTTTCGAAACGAGTGGATTTAGCTGAGACTTTTGTTTCGCTGGTTCCAGCTATTAATGAAGCAGCGTTCAAAACAACATGTTCAAGCTCTGACTGAAACCAGTGAAACTGAAGTCTAAGCCGAATTCACTCATTTCAAAAACACTCTTGAAGTCATTTCTCCATTAATTTTATTCTAGGGGAGCTCGTTCTTTTGATGCGGCACTCGCTCTGTGATCCTGATGACAATGTTCACTACGTGGGTAGCAGATTCCTTAGGGTTTATGTATTATGTATTATTCTTATCTAGGGCTTTAACTCAAAAGTGGCTCTGGCGATATCTCAGGAGTCCCCCACCAATCACCTATAATTATTACTTCCTCACCTGCTGTTTGACAGGTGAAATACATTTCAAGGGTTCCTAAGGCTGCATCCGAATCACTTGGCTGTGGCTTGAATTACACACAACTCCATGGGAGCCTAGCTGCGGCCACTACCACAGGCTCGTGGGTGATGTTAGGCCGCAGCCGAGTAATTCCGCTACGGCCTTCATAACTTGTACGGCATTACCTTCTGGCCATCTCTTCATCAGAGACTGTCATTTCTCGTTCTCTCTGCTCTGACTTTGCCTCCAACTCTTCAGCCTCCATGCTGCGCATAAGCTTCTGCACGAGCGAAGTAAAAAAGGGACAGCGGTAGCATTTGACCACATTTGATTTTTTAATTTTGCTGTATGACTGTTGAGATTTTTTTCACAGTTATCAGCAAATGACTTTTGTCAGTAGCGGTTATGCGTTGCTGGTGCCTTAGAGGCTGCTGTTTAATTTCGTTACAATGAATGCACAAATGGTTTACTTGAGGTTCTCCAACTGATCCAACCCCTTGCCCTCCAACTCTGCTTTCATGCATAACCTCTATTTGTCATGAGAAATGGGTTTGCGGGTACACCATGGAATCAATCTCTTTTGGACGAGGTGTGGTTCTTAAAAGAACCGGTGAGTATAAACTTGACGTTTCGGCCAGTGTGCTCTGGCCGTCCTCAGGAGAGTGTGCCGGACTGGAGTGGATAGCTGGTTATAAAGGTAATCCGGTAATCTATTTGTCAACTTAGTCTTACTTCAATAGAAGGGTTCATTCCCTTGAATGACATTCGTCCAAACTTAAGATTTTCGCAGACCGCAAAGCTTGGCTCCACCTCAAACTTGCTCCTGCAAAAGACAGAAGGTCAGTGTGAACAGTGCGCACTTACAGCTGAGAGCAGGTAGCTGCATTACACGAGTCTTCATCCTGAGAGTCACCAACATTCTCATAAGCTTGGCTCTCAATCATTGGGTCATCTAATCAAAAGCTTCAAAACAATTCCTCCTTAAAAGGATAATCTAACTCCCTTGCCAAGTTTTTTTTTCCTGGGAAGATTGCTACAGTATGTCTTCCATATTCCACACATTGTAACCATTTATCAACTTGACTCGGGACAACCCGACCGTTGAGACAACTCGACCATTCAAAGTGTGAACACGACGGAGTTTGGGGCCCTGAACACCAATTTCAGATTGATGTGTTGGGGCAAATTTGCATGTGCTGTGTTATGTTCCACCTCGACTCACCGGGCATGGCATGCATACAGACCCGGTGAAACAGCATGTACACGACCAGTGGGCGGCACGTGGGTTATATTGGAAATGAACAGCCATCGTAAAAGCCATTGTTGTCCTCGTCCAAGAAATTTTATATCATCAAAACTTGGCACAGCAAAGCAACTTTTCATGGAGTAAACTGCGCAGCTACGGCCTAAATTTGTGGCGCAAGGCTAACGCGCGGTTCAAAGTTACGCCGCATTTCTGTAAAACCGGCTGCTGGTGCTTACTCCTTGGCAGTTATCTCTGGTAGATCAAGGAACCAGTGCGTGTCGTCATTATGGCGCCTCTGTTCTGCCTCCTCGGCCTCCTTCTGTGCATTAGACTCTTGAGTGCGCTGCATAAACTGGTCAGAGACAAATATGGATGATGAAATGCATGCACGTATATACCGCTACATAAGGGCTGACAGAATATTAACATAAACTGCACTGTTTTACATGTGGGGTGCCTCGGTTTTGTTCTCTAATTCTACTCTACCATCTCTACGAAGGTTTAAAGGAGACATGTAACTGTCACAGGATTTTTATTAACAACTTGAATACAAGTACACTTAGTAAGAGAGCTTTTGTGCAAAGTAACTGACTTTCCACCTTCTATGAATCAGCAGCGAATGCTTCCCTTGGTGTCAGGAAGGCTTATGTGTTTCCAAATGGGACAAAAGAAGGAGAGACATGACGGATCTCGAAAATGAATTTGGTCAGACGTGTCAGAGTCCGACCACTTTTTACTACACGAGTGTGGGGTCCAGGGTATAAAGTATAACAGATGTAGTCTAGTACGTGCATCTGGGCCTTGGGCCCCATTTAAGTATGGAGAAATTTAGGTACACTGTACATGTACATGTATGGGCTAGCTAGTATTACCCTGCCATACATGCACCCGTAAGCCTAATATCACAATGCTGCATGGGTGATTTTGCACGATTGTAGAAAGGCATTTTTGGAAGGAAAATGGAGCAAACATTGCCCCTTTTTCATTTCTACCATTGTGCCAAATCACTCACCGTGTCCATGCGGTATTAGTGATAATCATAAGGCTTATAATGCTGATCACTGCCGATACCTTCCTCTGCACAGGCCTAGACCTTAACGTTAGGTTTAGCTTAAGCCCCTCTACTTACAACAAGCCTTCTTCACATTTCATGTGCGTAAGCGCAGAGGACTTAATAGAGAACAAATTCATGACAACATTGCGTAACGGTTGGCGAATGGATGCTCACGATCATTATTGTTGTAGACAATTTGTTCCCCTCTATTTCTGTTCACTTACTCGCATGGGGGCGCTAAAATCAACATGGCAACGGAATGGGAAATTGGCTTATTAAGAGACCTAACGTTATGGCCATGAGAGAAGAAGTTGTAGATTTGCATCCACCGCCCACCTGTCTTGACACTAACGCCCCCAAAAAATCATGAAAAGAATCAGAAATCAGAGTTCCGCATCTCCCACCAAGCTAGCAGTATAGGCTAAACTTGATAAAACACCAAATTTATGTATTTCATCTCTGAGTTTTAGCTCAGGTTTAGATGGCTTTCGTATGTGCAAGTGTTAATGTGCTCACAACGTGGGAAGGTCACCATGTATTGGCGTATCAAACGATTCGATTGGTTCTTGTATTTGTCATGTTTTTTGGAGTCATTTGACCTGCTTGAGCCTTGAGGTTGAAGGGCCTACAACTGTCATGACTGTCTGACTGTAGTCTGTAGCCAAGGATTGCAAGGTAGTCTACAGTGTCAGTAGCTCACCCCTCAGCAAGGCTTTTGGTTGTGGTTTAACACGTTTGGCAGTATTATACTCGGAAATTGTCTGTACTTGGAGGTCGAAATAAAATAACGAAAAAATGCCTCATGTGTTTTTGAAACTGTTAGGACGCAAATCTACAACTCAACATGGCCTAACCTAGTTCATGTAATTCAATCATGTCAAAATATTGGGGGATAGGAAGATACTACTGCTATGTTAAGTAGGCCTAGGCCTAACATGACTGAAGTAAAGGGCCGGGCAATCGTCATGTTCGTACGGCAGCTCAGGCTAAGCAGTACCTTCATCTGCATTAAGTTCTTGGACAGTTTCGTCTTTCCACTTCCGCAATCCCTACGGTCGTTCGCCATGTCTTGAAAAGTGGTGAGAACAAAAGGTGGAGTATAGTAATAAAGAAATATCAACCAGGCCTACTACTGTACTAGTCTTAATGCAACACCAACAACCCCACGTGACGTCCAGCAGCACAGCCATTCGCACGCCCTCTCGCGGCGGCAGGGTCTGTATCCGAATAAGCTGCCTAGAGCTAGCTAGGTCTAGGTACTAGGTAAATGTAGGTCTGCCTCCTTTGAAAATACATGTACACGCGTAGGCGCACAGACAACAGACCCGTACCTAGCTCTGGAATTAGGAAGCACGCTTTAGACTAGTACCGCTGCTACATGCAAGAGTGCTGCACTGTCCTTCCCTATTCACGTACATGTCAGGTCAATGCCATGCCATGCCGCGTATCTGCTGCCGCCACGATTAGACGGTTTGGCTGAAAGTACCGACTACCGATATCCGGTTGTCACTAAACTTAATGTTTTTTGAGCGTGGACATGATGGAGGTGCCGCCATCTGCAAACCTGTAAATGGTAGTTTGGTGGATTTTTAATGTGGTCTAGTCGCGGCGTTGCCGGGTGAGTAACACTAAAAGTATTCGATATCATCAGAATCATGTTCATGTCAAAAGCAACAAAAGTGGAACCATGCCTGCGTCACATGCTGGTCACTGGCCGTGGAGCACATGATTGGACCTTAGTTTGTCCCCAAGTATCTATATTAAATGGTCAGGGTAAGTTCTCTCCGATAGCCATGAGTATTTGCCCTCGATTTTATTTTCCTTATTGTGAGTGTTTTTATTTTATGTAACAACGGTATGCCTGCATGCCTAGCCTAGGGATCAGGTCAACTCGGACCCAAACAAACTCGGACCCATTCCAACTCGGACCCATGCTAACTCGGACCCAGGACCAACTCTGACCCACGCCAACTCGGACCCATGCCATTTCGGACCCACCTCGAGTCAACTCGGACCCACTGAGTCTTATGGTTGCATCACACAAATATGTGCCCGTAGACCGAAACAGCGCTGACTCTTGAACCTCGTGAAGAGGTTGGCCTTCATTTTTTTCGCTGGAAATTCAAGATTACGGACAGATCGATCCCTTTTCGTTTCAATTTTATGAGCTTTTTTATTCGCATTTTCCCTAAGATAGCCCCCTATTAGTAGTAAAACTATGCGCTCATACATGTATGAATGTAGCCGCCCGCTTCTATCCAAAATAGGCCCGCATTGTGCGGCTTTTTCTGAAAAAATACTCTGAACCAGAAACTATCAATCCCAAATTCGGGATTTATATAAATTGTATTATTGTAGAAAATAAGAAACCGTGGGATCACATAATATTAATAATGCGCTCGCAAGCAGACATACGACGCTTCAAAACCGTCTCCAAGTTTAAGCCAATGGGAAATATTCCACATTTTTGTTTTAAAATGATTTGATTTGTGTTGTTCAAAATTACCAACCTATTTGCGTTATTTGGACAGTCAGTTAAGGCTTGTATGGATGAATTCCTCCATCTGCCTAAATCTTGCCGGTATTGGGGGTGGGGGAGGGAATCGGGCAAGGTGGAGGTGTAAGACTTGCCAGGCCAAAAAAATTGGAAAGTGAGGTGGTGGATAACACCATTAGACACTGTAAAAGGTCAATGTTCGTGACATTGATGTATATCAGCAGTATCTGTTGTACGCGTATGCATCATCTCTTATGTACATCA